CGCCCCGGACGGACTGGCAGAATATGGAAGCGGAGCGAACTGATCCCCGATATCCTCGAAGCTGTAGTGATCTGTCCGCGAGTTCCAACCAGCCTCTGACCGTGACTAGGGGGGCGGCGGATGCTTGGGGGGTTGAATAACGTAGAGAAACTGCAGAACATCTTCCGCATGACTTGCCCGCCAGTTAATTACAAATCTATTTCATCATTTCCATCATACTAAACCGACGTACAGCATTAGATTATTAAACGTATATAGAAGTTCCACTTTGAAACTATACATTACCTACTAGATGGCGCTGTGGTAGTAATAGTCAACTCATATTACTTAGATTTATTTATTTATTTAATTAGTTTACGTGAAAACCACAACTTTTCAGTTTACACTGAATGTACGAGTATGTTATGTTGCGCGGTGTAATTAAAGTTTTAGTTTTCCCTCGGCTGGCGTTGAGGCGTCTTGGCCGTTTCAGGTGTGCGATAATTCATAACCGAGTTCTCTTTCTGCGCTTCGTCGCGCACTCCTGCGATTTCATTCCGTGCTCTCCGAAGAGTAATTTTATAATTTCCTCTGGGATGTTATTTTGCCCAGTGCTTCGCTCGAGCGAAGCGGCGAAAAACATTTCCTCGACAACGACAACGACGACTTCATCTTCGACGTATACCTATAAGTTTCTTATTTGGTTCATGTGGCAATTTGTGTTATATGTTTTTTTTCTGTTTTGTTTTGTTTGTGTGTGGGTGTTTGCGAACGGGTGTTAAACGGCGGCCACGTTCAGAGGCCGCATTCGACGCACGTATTTCATTAATGTCCGCCACGGTGCCACCCGCGAAGAAGAAACTTTAATTACGGTAATTAACTCGTGTGCTAAGCTCCTCCCACTCGCAACAAGACCTATTTTCATTCATTTTAAGTGAATGCTAGGTGATAGAATACAAATTTTAATGTGTTTTTTCACCCAAGCTTAGTTTTTTAAGATTTGTTTTGACAAATTGAAGTTTTTCGTTCATTTGACTAAAATTTATTAAAAATAATCGTGTAATGTTGTATTTAGATAAAAATACGGTTCATACAATAGTTTGAATCGATTTACAAAATTTTGAAATAAAAATTTGCATTTTTTTTCTTTGTATTTTGAAAATTAGTAAAATTTAGCAAATTTTAAAGGTTAGGAAGTTAATTTTTTATCTCCTTGATTAAAAGAGGCAATAAACAATAATATTACACTATCTATGCTTACAAATTGCTAATATGTAGTAATTTTAATTATAAACCAACATAATAACTTACAAAAATATAAGATACCATTTGTTAAATGACAAAAACAAAAGTGTGAGAACATAATCAAAACGACTTTTTAATTATGCCGTAGTCGCAGCGGCAGTGGCACACTTTTTTTATAATAAACTTGAATTCGTAAATTTGCAAAAGATTGAAGAAAAAGTTTCGTCTCGGCGGGCGCGATTTTCCCATTCGTTGTGCAAATTTTAATGAAGCGCGTGCAAAAGAAGGAAATAATTAAAAGTTTTTCGGTTTTTATTTTTTATTCTCCACTGTTTTGTTTCGCCGTGAACAATCTGTGTTAATGTTAAAACTTAAAATTTAATTAACAAACATATTTACTTTAATCCTAATTCGCGTTAATTATTATTAAGCAAACAACTAATAAATCAAGCATTTTTAAAATGATTGCTGTTAATTATTATTTTTCGCGTAGAAATACGGTAAAGATTAATCCGCTAAGGCAAAGTAGAAGCGTACAATTTTTCAAGCGGCGATTTAATGAATCTGGCAGTCGAAGGCAGAGCGTAGGAACAGGACGCGGCGCGTTGATGATGAAAAACGTGTGGGCGTGAATAATTTTTACGATCCTGCAAACCGACGGCGGCAGGCAACGGGACGTTCTCTCGTGCGCGCTCATTAAGCGAAGCGGAAAGGGTGTGAATGACCGGCATTGATTTTCACCCCTAGGATAAAATGCAACCAAAAGGAATATATTTGCAGGTTAGACACACTAGCGCCGCCTATGTTTCGATAGCGGAGTGAACAGCTACTAAAAGGACTTCTGCAACCCCAGGAAACTTTTGCAGGAGTTAACTTTGGAAAATTATGTTACAGAAACCTGTAAAATAAAATAAGGACTGAAAGGATATTACATTATTATGAACTATGAAATTAATTACGATAATAAATTAAAGTAAATACTTATAATTTGTTAATTAAACGTAATTAAAATATTAATACCTGTAATAAATTTTGTGTAATTTTTAGTTTAATAATTGCAGCATTAAATTAAACGTTAATTAATGTCAAGGGTGGATTTTAGTTAAAACATTGCAGATTAAAATTGCAAGATTTAAGACTCTCGAATGCAAGATCGTTAATTAAAACCGCATTATCTCGACGACGTGCCTCGCTTTCCACCCCAATTCCTCCCCGCCGCCTGCTGCGCATAGCCTGTTGCTTCCCCGGATTCAATATTTCAGCATTAGATACAAAGTTGCAGCTTCGTAAATCGCGACTTCATTGAAAACGCAAACAGACGTCACGAGCCTTCCCCAACCTGCGCCGCCCCTCTTCTCGGGTTGGGGTTGTTTGTGCGTTTGTGTCGCGTTTGGGTGTGTGCTTCGCGGTCATGTTTGTGCAGCGCACGCGGCTGTGGCACAGTTTGCCGGATGGAGGCCAAGAGCGTGCGCGCCCCGTACGAAAGTAGGTTAACATCGTGTCACGGGCAACCGCCGCCCCCGCGCGGCGACGTCGCGCAAACCCCGGTTACCCGGAGCCGGAGCCCAGCTCTGGAGAACCATTTCCGGATGGCGCCCTGGCGCTTCCTGTCGCCGCCCACCGCCACCGCTACGACCGCCCGAATATAATTGCGTATTGAATATAGGCCGCGACCTTTACGCTGCTAATACACGCTGATTATGTTTTCATTTATTGGCACGCCGAAATTTGCGTATTCTTTCAACCGCGCACACAGAAAAAAAACAACAAAACACTGGATCATCCCGAGGGGTGAAATTTTTGAAATTTCAATTAAAACGATGTATTGCCGCGCCTGCAACCCACTGGCTTAATGTCATATTTTTTAGACATCTACCCTTTTTTGTAATTTATTTGTAAATATACCTATACAATATGTTTAGTAATTTTTTTAAATTTTTAATTTAAAGATAATTAATGTAGGTACGTAAATTCTTAATACATTTTGTAGAATTAAGATAAAAAAAAGCATAAATAACGGGTTTGCTTTTGTGTTAGACCCAAACACCGAACAACTAATGCGCTTTTAATTAATAACGTCGGTCGAGCACGTACGCAACGTTTTAATTGGGTTTTACGCTCTTCGCGTGCGCGCAACTTAAATGTATCCAGCGCCATCACGGCGGGCGCATAAAGTCTCAAACGTTTCAATTGCACAAAAAGATAAATGATGGAACAAAACATGCAAAAATCACGATTTAAAAACCGCTGATACAAAAACATTATTATTAAGTATTTTCCTTGACAAATTACACCAATAGATGGAAATAAAATCAAATAAATGATTTTTTATATTATATCAGCCATTATACACACAGAACTCATGTCAATGACATTAGAGGTTAGTATTATGGTAATGGCAATACTAATGTGTAAAATAATAACTTAAAACGTCCGAATGAATAATTTACAAAGAAAAATATGATTTATACTCAAAATTTTCCTCTAAATAATCAAAATTGTGGCTTTACAGCATTGTTATGTTATTTTAAGCATTCGATGATGTTAAATATTGAATACGAACGCTTAGCGGCGTACCAAATTGCAATCGAATTATCCGTTTCGGATGTGAGCCCTTACCCGGGCGAGAACCCTAGACAATCGGCGAATGCGCTCGAATCGGCGATTATCGCTTTGATCTAACCGAATTACGAAGTCGAGCAAATATTTAACATCGCGGTCGAATCGGTTCGCCCCTGCCTGCGTCTGTAAGGACTCTCAGCTAATTGAAACAAAACCCGCACAAGTAGTCAACCCTTGTAACTCAACTGACTCTCTGGTAACTCTAGCCGGCCGAGCAAATTGTCATTCAAAGGACTCTAACTAGCAACATTTGTTATTTGATGGCGAGTATTTAGTTATCGAATGCACTACTCGAATCTACTACTAATGCCATCTATACATCAATAGTTCACAAAAGTGTAGAACGTGAGTATACGTAACGGATGTGCATGAATAATATACTCAAGAGCTTTATCCCGACGGAAATGCACTTTGCGAGTGCAAAAGTGACACTCGAAGAGGGTGAATGCACATGCACAAGGAGTTCTATTGTACGCTGCCCACATACTACATATAAATTTCATTTTATATGCTTTGATATATGAGTACATATACCATGTGTTTTATGAAGTACAAAATTAACATTTTAAAGAAAGTAGAAGCAAAAAATGCAATCTCAATCACTTGAGTTAATAACAATTTGATTGCAGGCGAAATTGCGTAGGACTAATATTGATCCTTGACCTAGAAAAAAATTGCGCGCAATGCTAATCACGCTCGGACGCTTTTTGCACCGAGACACGAGTATCAAATAAAAATCCAAGTATGCGGTGCAAATCAAAAGAAACACATCTTGAACGCCGTCTCGAGACTGTCTCGCAGCGCACCCCGCCGCCGCCGCCGCAGTTATACGAACTTGTTGCTTTTTAAGTTATTGACGTCGCAATTCGTCGGCTGCGTGCCGCTGCGAGCGTATACTTGTTGCGTCGCACAGACGGACGCTTTTTTGCGCGTTGTACATGCTGGCGGGTGTTCAGGCCGATGAAAGAGAGTAAGTAAGAGTGCGAGCTGGCGCGGAGTGGAGAAAAATAGTCGCCCAGGTGAGAGCGGCGGCGGCGGTGGTAATGCGGGCGGCGGTGCGGGCGGTGGCAGGCGCACCAGGTGGCGCTGTCTCGCTCGCGCACGCCGCCTCCGCGCGCCCGGCGGCCGGCCGGGAGTCGCTCGGCGTCCACCGCATTCGCAGTACGCCGCCGCCGCCGCAGCCACATGCCTCTGCAACAGGTGACCTATCGCGCGACGCGCACGACATCCACGACTCGTAGGGCTTAATTACACTTTACTTAATTACAGACGAAACAACGTAGTAGTTGAAACAAATAATTTAAAAATAAATTTAAAAAAATATTCAAAGTTTTTGGTGCGTGGAAAAAACTTTTCGGTGTGTTTGTGTGAATATAAAGTGCGAAACAAACAAACTCGGCAAGACTTTTAAAAGGTGAGCGCATGCACAAATTAATTATAACTAATAATTAATTATAGCAGGGCTGACACACTCACAGTGTATCAAGTTGATGTATCTTGGCAGTAATTAATTGAACTGTTTCAAGTTTGAAGATGTGCGTCGGCGGGCCATAACTTGGATGTTTTATCGCGTTCGTGATCGCGATCAAGGGGTTTGCTCAAAGTGCGAAAATATTTACACTAATGGCCGCCGCGGTAGTAGGTATACGATGGGCTCAAAGCAAATTTAAATTCAGTGGAAAACGGTCGCGTAATGTGCGCAGACACAAAGGCTAATGCGACGAGCACGCACTCATCTCGAATAATTACGCACCACCTTCCGAACCAGTCGAGTACAAAAAATGTTACATTAAATGTTACTATTGGATATAGATAGTAAAATTGTGTGTTGTTTTTGCTGGGAAAATAGGTGAAACCTAATAACTTTTGATATAAATAGTACAAAATTTATTTGCAATTTTTAGTACTTTTGCCCACAATTTTAGAACCTTTACACCTAAAATTTTCATGATTTTTTTGTCTGATTTTGTGGAGAATTTTCCAAACTATAATAATCATTAATCAGCAGTTTGCTACCGCTTTTAGTTTAAAAGATATGCGCTGCTAAAAATCCTCAAAAAAAAAATGATGACACGTGAAAACACTTTGTATTAATGTTTTATAGACACTAAATTTGATAAGGATTACAAAATCCACAAAATAATTAATCATAATTTAAACAGTTTAATTTTGTATTAAATTACTTTCAAATGAAAATTAATATTGCTGAATTATTTAAAGTATCAAATTTTATTCGAGGTATTTTAATATCCGAGTATTTAAAATTATAAACTCTCATAGTACGAGTACATGAGTTTAAAAATAATTAATGAGTTTTTATATAATTTAGAAATTCCCGTAGCAATAAAATTGCAATAAAATCAATGTAGTATTAAAATATACTAAACAATAAAATAGTAAATAAATACATTGTTATTTGTAAAACTTGAAAGAAAATTAATAACGGCATTATTAATTTCTGACGCAAATTGTGTTTTATTACGATATAGAATAAAAACACGTTTTGCTGTTCAATATCATAATAGTATTGCGTATTGTTGTCTTTGAATAGCGAGAGAAATATTATTATGGCCATAAATATATTGGCTTGCAATTGATGAATAAAAAAATTATGAAATTAAAACACGCAAGATTTAGGTCAATATTTAGGTCAAAAATTTAAAAATTTACTCTTCAGGTGATACGTATGTATTTTTAATTAAGAATTTAAACAAATATTACATACAAATAATGAAAAAATCGATTTAATCGCATTTTTTGTAAATATTTACTTAAATGAAAATCTTGCATTATTAAAATGTTATAAAGCAAGCAAATAAGAAATAAACCTATTACTATTGTTAAATTTAAAAAAAAAATTAAATTAATTATGGATTTACGTAGGATAAAAGCAATATTTTAAGAATAAACTGGTTTAAAATACATAAATATCATCATAATATACAAAAATAAATTCAATTGAATAATTATTATCGTATTATGTGGCGACGCATAAATAATTCGCAACGGTTCAATTATAAATCGACGCTTAATTGAACGGCGTCCGTCAGACGCGCGTCCACGATCAATCAACGCGCACATCACGCGAACTCGTCAATTAATAAAACTCGCCGCGCGTTTCGAAAGCTCCAAAGCTCCATGAACATTCAAAAACTCACAGTGCACGCCGTTCCGAAATCTGCATAATTCTATAATTTCGTAAATGTTGTAATTTTATCCGCGCCGACATTAATCGAATTCCGCGCGCATTGCAACATCCGAAACCCTTTTCGGTTTCCCTCCCAAAAACGAAACCGAATATTAAATTTCCAGAAACCATTAAAACTCCATTACAATCGCGAAAATCACAACAATTGCCGGGATGAATGTGTTTTATATCGAACGATGAAATTCGAGTGTAGTACCTATGAACGAATGTATGCTGAGAAGTTGTAGCGGAATGCGGGAATGCGGAGGATGTGCGAGGAAACGCGCGCGGAAGTTATGAAGGAAGGCACGCGAAGCGCGCGCGCCGTGCGTAATTTCACCGCGGCATTGTTCCTCTCTCCGGCGAAAGCTTTCGCGCTTTATTCTTGGCCGCGGTTAATCAGCTTCATTATTTAACATTGGTGCTGTGCGAACATGGAACGTGTTTCTGCTTTGTGCTTCTTGGATCAGCTTCGAAAATCTCTTTCGTAACTTTCTACCCCTAATGCATTTGGTTTTATTAAAATCAAAATTAACTTAATAATTTTAGCCGAAAATTGTCTTTCAGTTCAAGTAAAATTAAATTAAAATAATTTTTTGAGTCAAGATCGAACTTTTTTAGTGTTTTTATTTTATATTTTATATTAATCTGTAGTTGAAATTGAAAAATGAAAAATTTTGAAAAAAATTCAAACTAGATTTATATTTAGATGAAAAAATGTAATAAAAGTTGAAAGTCATGTGTGTTCTAAGATTGATTTCCCACATGCGACGTTTGCATTTCGATTTGACGTTTGTCGAAATGCGCGAAATCGAAATTGAATTCGTGCCCTCTTTCTTTCATTCGTCACCACCGCGCTCAGACTGTCGTTTACTTAAGGTACTCGCGGGTCTCTTTGAATATCAAACAAGCCCCTCGCTACACACATGCACAATCAAACATATTTCCTATATGTTTGTGTTAATCCGCTTTCTTCAACTTTTCAATTTTCCTCAAATATTGCAATTTTATTCCACGAAATTCTTCATTCAATCAAAAAAAGTTTTTTAATCATTATAACAGATTACATACAAGACAGGGATAATCTGAATGTTTTCGTGAAGAGCAGTCTAATTGCAGCAATTATCTGACACGATCTAAATTCATTTTGCATCAGCGCGATTCAAGCGCAAAGAAATTGGCGCGCGTTTTCTTGCGCGTCGGTAATCAAACGACACCCGATGGGCGTAAGCGTTGAGACGGGGGATCGTTTTCGAGTGATGTAATTTAGTGTTTCCGGCGGCGCGTTTTACGAGCGACAAACGCATCGAACGCCTTCAAATTGCTCAAATATTTAGCAGGCGAACGGAAGGCGCCGAGGTGGCATTCCGCTGAGAAGATGTCGAAGCACGCGCGACAATCATTAATTATTTACATTCAGGCGGGCGCGCGCGCTCGGAAAGTTTGTCTTCGATGAAAAAGATGAAAGAATTCTCATCGACGATAAGGAATTTGTTACACATGGATATTATTGGAAACGATTGCGCGAATAAAAATAAAATTCAATGAAAAATGAATTCAATTAGTTTCAGGCTTTCCATTACATTTATATTAATTCCAAATGAAATTTATGAATATAGTTTAGCAGGAATTGATCATAAATGGAAGAATATTCATTTAATAATTATTTTAATTCTAGGAGATATAAAAATATCTTGAAATTTGCGTATTTTTACCTAAAAATGTTATTTTTGTCCTTTATTTCTATAAATACATCAAAATAATCATTTTTAACCACGTTGCACTTAAAAAATATAAAATTTTAGTACTTTACCACCAATAAATCATTGTTTAGGTGTTAAAATGTTAAGATATGCGTTATTACGTAAAAGTAATGAATGGTGAAGGCGTTCCTGGTGCCTCAACGCACACAATGTTTAATTCATACGAGCGTGCTGCGCCCCTGCTGCTCACATTTCTCAATTCGCTTGTCACCACCGTTTCCCTCAGCTGGCAAAGACGTGCAGCGACCGCATGCCGATGCAAATGCGAACGCGCCCCCGCAAACGCAATATATACTCAATACTAACACAATGAGCACATTGCGCATGCTCGCATCTCTTTGAATACCAATACTGGAAACCACCTCTAAACTAATCACTAAACTAAATACAAAACAACAATTGATGGCAGTCTAATCGCCTGCAAGGAGAAACGTGCGCTTAAGAAGCCGATCAAGCTTACGACTTGAGAATGGTTAATAGTTTTCGAGCGACACAATATGTACGAGTAAAGTGGAAAGTGTGTTCAACTATAAACTGTAAAACTATCCAGCTGCTCAATGCTAAGCGATGCTATCGAGACGAGTCGAGTATTGTAGTTTCCAGGGTTTGTTGGGTTTGTCGTCTTTAGTTGGCTGTGTTTGCTCTGCATTTGCAATGCGGTTCATGGAAACTCGGCTGTGATTGGATGCTTTGTTGTCTTTCAAGTACAGATACTGAGATATTGCCATTGCAAGTACTGGGACTTGCACAATTTCCACTTAGAGACACAAGTATACTTTGACTTTCACATTGGATTATCTTTGTTAGTGTGCGAAATCAAAACTGAATTCTGCAAACGGAAATAGATAAATGAACGGCAAAAATTTTTAGTAAATGGAACTAATGTTACATAAAGAGTATTAAGTCTAGTGAATTGGACTTAGAGTTATTTTGTCTACAAAAGCCTCACAAAGTCTTTTTGTCCATCAATACTGTCTATTTTGTTATTTTTTTGATATTTTGAGAATTTATGTGGTAAATGTTCTACAGCTTTATTTCCAATAGAGTAATTTAGGATCCCTCATTATAATATGGTAGTTATGGAATCCCTTTATGATCTTTGTATTGTTTTAGCTCTTTAAACCAGGAGAAAGTGTCCAAAAATAACAATTTTCGTTAATTTTTCTTGCTTTGGCGTGGAAAACACCCTATATCTATTATGATAATAATGTAATTTAGATCCCCTAATAGACATATAATAGCTAAGAAATTTTCTTACAGAATGCGTTCTGTTGTAGCCTTCTTATCAAACCGGAAGTGCCCCAAAATGACCAACAAAAAGCCATTTTATATAAAAAATTAATTTAGGTTGAAAAACAGGTCAAAACAATTTTATAAAATTATTTTCGATCAAATAACAAGGTCAAATTTCTTACTGGAAAAATGTAGGTATTTGAATTACGTGTGAAAATCGCAATCTATAAAAAATTTAAGTCCTCAAAACAAAGTTTTAAAAAGTATTAAAGTTTTTCAAGCGAGAGTTTTTTCCCGATCAGGTGGCTCAGTAAAAAAGTAATAAAACTGATTGCTTTAATTTCAAATCAACAAAAACATTGCCAAATTAAACCGACACCCATATACCTACTATACCCACTCAATTTTTATTTATACGCTACTAGTTCCCTTGTGTTACCTATTTTATCCTTTTTATTTTTATTTCTATTTATTCCATGACAGATAAATAAAGCACATAAAGTAATTGAATTCTCCCACGAAGGAAATGAGCAAAGAATGACTCAGCTATTGATTCTACTATACGCGGTCGACGCAAAACTATGCGCTCACAACCGAAGAAAGGTGAGCGCGTTACGCGCAAGAAAAAAGGACCTGGAAGAACGAAAAAAGGACGGATCGAATGCGCTGGTGCGCGCGCGCGCTCATGATGGGCTCGAGCGAAAGTGCCGTAACACGATAACGCACATCACACGTACCGCATATAAAAAGGAAAAGAAAGAAGCGAAATAATGTGGGGAACGAAAGGCGAGACGAGTGAAACAAAATGACGAATGAGCGGCAACAAAATGCTTCACGCGCGTAACTTCGATTTAGTGTCGTCAGTGTTTCATATTCGCCTTCTATTTTTGTTTATTCACTCATGTAAATATAGGTTATGTGCATACGAATTTGATTGAAATTTATAACCTCACATTATTTTCACTTCGAATAAGTTTATTATTATTTGTATTTATTTTTAATAATTTTAATTAGTTCATTCAAAAAGTAAATGTAGCTAACTAAAACTAATTAGAATTCAACTAAAACCGAATATAAATATGAAGGTAGAAATATGATGTAAACAAGTTGCAACTGCGCGCAATGTAAACGAAATTTGTTCGGACAGCAAAGCATTTGCATTTCCCAAAGCTCCAAAGCTTTCGTGCGGAGCTTTCCCAATGAATCGCATAGTGCAAAGTTGGCGACCGACAACTAACTCATACACCACTTTCGGTTTTCCAGTTTCTATTTCCTTTCATTTCTCGTTTTTTTTTTCGCTCTTTGTGCGCTGTAAATTCTATCACAACTTCACAACGTCACAATATGAATGTTACTGACCACGAATGCACTTGACAGTTAAGTTAAACTTCAAAATCTCATTAACCTCAATCACCTAACCTAACATAACCTAAAGTTTTATGACAGAAGATAAATTGCAACGTTGCCAAATTTTCAAGAAATATTAATTGTATTTTTGCAAAAAGTTGTGATTCTTAAACTCAAAATCATTTTTTTTAATTTTAACTGAAAATTTTTGACAAAAAACTTTAAAATCTTATTAACATCAAACACGCTTATCAATCACCTAACCTAACCTCACTTTTTTGACGCAGGATAAATTACAACGTTGCCAAATTAACAAGAATGACAAGTTGTATTTTTGCTAAAAGTGCTGATTCTTAACCTCAAAACCATATTTTTCAACTTTATCAAATATTTTTTAACAAAAAACATTTTTTAACATTGTGATGTTATGTTGTGATGTTGAACTTCAAAATCTCATTAACCTCAAACACGCCCATCAATCCCCTATCCTAACCCAACCTAACTTTTTTTTGGACAGACGACAAATTGCAACGTTGCCAAATTAACAAGAATTCTTAACCTCAAAACCATTTTTTTCAATTTTAACTAAAAAAATTGGGCAAAAAACTTCAAAATCTTATTAACCTCAAACACGCCCATCAATCACATAACCTAACCTAACATTTTTCTGCCACAAGATAAATTGCAACGTTGCCAAATTAACAATGAAATGTGACAACCGTGCGCGTTGGGAAACCTCACGGAAACATTTGTATTATCTTCAATTCTCCTCGCTTTCGTTCATGTCACACAGCGAAGGAATTTACAGCCGCAGTCCTGCGATTGTAACTTTCAATGTAAACCCCATCCAGTTGCGTCTTGTTCGCGTTAAACTTCTCGACCGCCATCACCACATCCTTCATTGTATTACAGGAATGTATAAATACACATCACACAGATGTGGAATGAAACGAAGGTAGCTGTGACGACACAATTTAATATTCATCATCATCATGCTGGTAATTATTTAAGTTTGAATGTTAAATATGTAGTTATGTAGAATTATCGTAGTTACAACTCCAGATGGACTCTAGAAACGTAAATATAGCACAGGTGGGGCGGTGAAGTGGCGGCGGCGCGAGTGCGGGTCTCGTGTATCGTGATCCCTCGCAACATGCGATAACTTTACCGCCACCACCGCTGCGTTTTGTGCAAACACATTTTATGTTTGCGGTCCTAGGTTCCTGCAGAGGAAGGAACAACACGTTTCCTAGTCGATTATGTTATAAATATTAGACGGTGTATTTTACTCGGCCACTTGTGGCGCAAATAATAATTGGGCAAAGGTTTTAAAAATGTATGAAGTTGCTGTTGTTTACTTAGTATACGTAAATATAAAGTTTGGACGTGTAACAGCATGAATATTACATGACAACTTTAAAAATACACTGTGGGCAATTTTTGTGTGGATAAAATTTATTTTTCTATGTTTGACTTTTAACACAGCGTTTATTTTTATGAAATAAATTGATTCACGTGTTTCCGCATGAATAAAAAACGTGCCATCGCATTTATATGATCGCCACGTGGCAAAGATGGCCGAAAGATATTGTGTTTGCAGTGGAAAACGTGCGCCCACGCGTACGATATTCGTATTTCCGTCCGGCGCGTCCGCACTTTCAATCCCTTACGCAAAACACCGAGGGAGCCATCAAAGCTCAGCGTGTGCTTGCGTTTGTTACCTTTTTCCTTCACTTCGGCTTCTGCACAACTCGAATATACATACATAAATATACAAACGCAAAAAGGAGTAAAAAGTTCGGAAATATTCCTCGATATATACGAAGTGGTCAGTCAGTCAGTCAGTCAGTCAGTCAGTGGGGAAATATACGCAATGCAGTGGGTATCAACGTAAGTACTCAGAGATGTGGCAACACAGTGATGTAAATACATTTTGCAAAATGTTTGGTCGCGCGACTGAATGCCAGCTGAAAAGAAAAATGGATGTGACCTGCATTCCCTGTGCTTTCAGGACGATCGGAAAGCTTTCATGAATCTATACGAAAAAAAGGCAAAAATCGAAGGAAGATTTTCGTCAAATAATATAAATGTGTTTTGGTTTAATAAAATCGTTATTTATCAAGGAAGACATGTTGTATTTTTACTAAAAGTGGTGTTTTCTAACCTCAAAACCAATTTTATTCAATATTAACAAATAATTTTTGTAAAAAAAAATTTTTTTGCGTTTTTGCTTCTAAATTTTATCTTTTTTATATTTTAAAGTCAAAATATCAAAAACCAAGATAAAATAAATTTGATATTTTGTTTATTATTGATTTTGCTAACAAATTTCTATAAACTGCATATTTAGCAACAAAATATTAGAATTTGTATCATATTGACGTCACATTCATGGAATTCCTATAAAAGCGACATTAAAATTTCGTACAAGTTTGCGCAATCCAATTTTCGAATAATAAACTTTGCGTGTTTTCGATTTATTAAGTTAATTTTGCCCCACCCGCAGCTCTCTGAAGTTTCACGCTCTGATAGCGCTTCAAGGGGTTGCGCTGGATTTATATTGTAAATAAAATTGTACGAATGCCGAAATGATAACAACGTTTCCGTGCGCGCACGAGTTTGCACCATGGTAACCAGCAATAATCCACCTGCGCGCGCGGATTAAATCGCAAATTGAAATCCATCAGCAATATTTATGTATTGTGCGAATAAAATTGCAGATAAACTGCATCTTTTTATCCGCATGCGTGTTTGCTAGCGTTTGATTTGAACCGCCAGAACGCGGCGTATCGATTAACTGTTGACGGTTGCAATTAACCGTAAGAAAATTAATTGCCTCGTGTGAGTGTGACGGTGCTCTAAGTGTACACTTGTGTTGCAAACGTGATGTTCCAATGAAGCAATAATAAACGTATTGATTTCCTTCAGCGCACCCAACTGTGAGTTCCGCGCCGACGGAAAGGTTAATCGAATCGAAAACAATGAGTAATTAAATTATGTCCGACGCGTCGACACTTTTGCTTCTTAATTGATATATATTTTGTCTATAAATGTACGTGATCTTTTGTTGTGCAAGAAAAGTTAGAGAAATTTTATTTTTTTGGTGGAAATTGAGTAAAAACGTTAAAAATGTGGAATTTTTTTACCAAACAGAAGTTAAATCCTCTACCACACATCATTTTTTTTTTGGTAATTTATTTTATCCAGCGTTAAAAACACAGTTTATTTTAAATTTAACTTTTTGTGATTTTTTTCTTTTAAAAGCAGTGATTTTTATTCACTCAACTTTTTTCGTTCATTTAATTATTTGATTTGATTGATTTTGTTAGAATTAAAGCATGTTCCAAACGGAGAATAACAAATAATTCGTTATTTATGTGCGGATATCGAAACGCAATGCGTCAATAACAATCATCCCTCAAAATCACCCTCAAGCGAGCCGTAAACAATTTCAGCGCGACGCAACGGTGTCGTTCGAATCAATCAATCGGCAGTTTATAATTCACAACGAATTATGTCCCAGAGCTCAGCTGACGCACAATGGCTGTCATTAAGCCTCATTATCGAAAGATGCATTATATCGATTGCATCAACATGCTAACTGACAATGCATAATTCAAATCCACTCCTGTACACTTCAACTTTTAAACTCACCTGTAATTATTTATTAAACAACCGTTTAAAATTAAATTAGAAAAATTGATGTATCCATAAGAAATATTTTATCGTGTTATGTATTTTCTTGTTACAGTGACACTGGTGGTGTGTAGTGAGGCTTGAATGTGAACCGGAGAAGATCGATGCCTGCATCAACGATGTTCTCGAAATTCAAGAGCGGAAGCGGCGCGCAGAGCCCGCTCGAGACGAATCCGATCGGACAATTCTTCGAAATCGGCAAGCAGATCGCCAGTGCCGGACCGGAACTTGTCTGGCGTATTCATGACGCTTACCGGAAAAGTGACGGAAAGGTAAGCAGCGCATGCGCCCTAAACCTTACATAAATTTAATTAATTTTAAACTTTTCGCTGGTAACTTACACACTTAAAATAAAAAGGGATTTAAGCTGCTAACCGGAAAGCGAAAGTTTGCACCTCTTTCCGGCACTTACGTGTCGGGAAGTTTGAAAACCCGCCGTCGTCGCAAGCAGCGTTTCCGTTTCGGTTGCAGTCAGTTTAATTCTCGGGCGCAAGATAAAATAGCGCTTCGTGCCTTTGTTAAGTCCTGCGCGTCCTGCGAGCAGCAGGTGTGTTTGAACAAAAGTCGTAACCGTGCCGAAAGAAAATGAGTTTCCCGGGCTTATTATTTACTGCAAAGATATCTTACATCCGCGCAAAAGACGCTGCAAAACGTTGCAATTTTTTTCCGTATATAGAAGCTAAGGTTTTAAATTCACTCACGTCACGATATTTGCTTGCTTCCACGCAAAACGTAAACAAAGCACCGGAAATTTGCATGCGACACGTGCGGCGACGAAAATAACGCCGCATCTATTTTCGGTGTTGTGCGGGGGCGTAAAATATGAGCGCCGGTGCGAAATCGTGGGTGAATGATAATAACATCAAAATGTGGCAGGCAAATTTCATAAAGTGCAGAGAGGAAATTACACGTTTTATTACTTACTTTCAGTTTTAAAATTACACCATAAAAGAAAACATTTATTTTCACTGTCAAAAAGTGAAACAACTAACGCCATCTTATTGCAATTGCATAAAATAAAATGCATAGCATATACCTACTATACCATAGGCAACCAATTTTTCATTCACCCAAACACAAAACTTTATCTGTGTTTATTTCCATCCACACAGATTTAATTAGTTTGACGTTGGTTAATTGTTTCGTGCGCACAATTAATGCAATATCGAGCGTCGCGACGCTCTCAGAGTACACTCACTTTCATCTCGACGTGCAATATTTGCATGCAGTATGTGCAGCATGCAATTAATTACGTGCGTCAACTGCCTGTTGCCGCGTTGCCGCCTCCTCTCTCCAACTCTCAGCGAAGGCGTAGGAGGAAATTGAATCGTACAATATAATGCAAAATGCAAACACAATATTGTATTGTCAAGCGTCAAGTTATTAATTAAGATAACGATTTGCACCTCGCGGGGACACACAGCCGAAGCAACTGGTTTATGGCGCTGGCGGTGGATGATGATGAAAGGTGTTGGGGGTTATGTTGCCTTTGGTTGATTAGACACGTGGCGAGGTCGCAGCCTGCACTGGTTTCAGCAATGTGGTCAAACCGGACGTTAGTGGCGTCATTAACAGCGATGCTATCGCGTGATTACAGCTTGATATTAATCTCCAAACATGTCATCATGTGGATCAGGATGACATTGTAAATAAGGTTATGTTAAGATTTTATTTGGCAACAGCGCAATTTGTAGTTTGATGCAATAATTAACATAATTTAGTTGCTGGGTCTTCCATCCGAATGATTATGGATTTGTATCGAATGGGCTTTGAAGAGCCCCGAGTCTAATAGGATTGAATCTTACTGGGTGCGGTTTGTTATCGTTCGATAATCACCGTTCGCATGTTTCCGCACATCCGGCGCGACCTACTTCAACCTATATTTCCTCGCCCACGTGTTTACGTTCAATTTTACCCACATTTCCCGCACTCAACGCCATTGCCATTTCCGATGCTTCTATTAAATTGGTGCTTAATCTTACGTCCTTCGATTTTGTGCCTCGATATATACAGGTGTATCCTTAATTTGATGTACCTTCCTGCATGAAAAATATGTCAATGTGCATAATTTGTATGCAGTCGCGTTTGCGGAAATCATGAATCAAGTCCAGGTCAACAAGTTTCATTCGGAGCTCATTCGGTATTCAACAATTCGCGGAATTTCGCTCGTAATAAATGTCGGAACGTCAGCTAAACGCGCCAGGTATCAGCGTGTTTGTTACAAATGAAGTTGCGCGCACAATGCGCGATGAAAGTTCAAAAGTTCATTCAAAGTATTGTCAATCGACGGCAGCCGCTGTGAGGTAAGAAAGGACTCGGAGCAATCCTGTTCCATGGCTTTGGAGATGGCTGGTGAGGAGCATGAGGTGGAATTAGGCCGAGGAATTATGCGTGCTCTGCGAATCGAATCGAATTTCATTGTGCGCCAAACACGCCGTCGAAAAATGATGAGATTCCTGACTTTCATTCTGAATAAGGATGAAATTTCTAATTTGATACACTTTTTTACATACAGTGTGGTTAACAGGCATCAAAAGCAGGAATTTAAAGAGTAAATTTACAAAAGAACTTAATAAAATTGTTAAATTTTACACCAAGTGCGTAAAATGATACTTTTGAACACTTTTTACATCATTTTCGGGGAAGTAAACATCAATAATGTCATTTTAATGCCAAAAGTTGTTTTTTCTTTAAATTTTCGCCTGCTGTTGACAAAACTGTCAAAAGTAAATTTAAAGGTTATGTAACTGTCATAACCAAATGACAGATCATATATCTCCCCTATTTAAATTTCCAGCACGTACATATTGTATATTTATAAATAATATTCAGTTGACGATATGTATCAAAATTGAAACCAAAACGCAAGTGAAACCAAGTGAATAAATTTAATCCGCATTAAAAGTTATGATACGGTTTTCTCATTAAAATGTAACTGGATAGCAATTTGTTTATATATCTCTCCATATATATTACACACCACGAACGGAATTGATGATAAATAATTATAATATTGTTTGCACTGAAACAATTACTTAGTCATGCCGGAAAATGTAATTTAATTCCGGATTACAACTTACACCGACCGTGGCGCTGGAAATTAAGTTAGAAGCGTTTCGTCTTGAGCCAAAGGGCGTCAACCCAAACCGCACCACGGCATATCTCTCACTTCCAACCCAACTATGAGCTCGAAACTTACTGTGCTTAACTCAGAATTACACAGCAGACACTATGCAATTACTCGTTTAGACATTCCGCGAAATTGCTGTAATTTTCAACCCGGTAGCAAGTTATCTGTGTGCTGCCATCTGTTAAACACAAGTTGAGAAATTTTGATTTGAAGGTTATTTCAATTGCAATTTATATAAAAAAGAGGTTTTATTTAATCTGAACGTGTGCAAACGGATATAATTAATTTCACTCTGCGCCCATTTTTGTTAGATAATTAGATTATGAGCGAGGCGAGCGCGTGGAAAAGTTTTCGCCGCGCATGATGAAAATAAATTTGCTCTGTAGATTAACTACGTGGCTGGTGAAACTTTCATAAATTTATTATGTATACTACCTATATGTCAATTGTAGATGATAAAAAACTTCTAATATTAGTTCTTTTTTCGTTTAAATACAAAGAAAGTAATTTTATGTTAATATTTACTTTTTGGGTATGCTACGCTAGATGGCGCACTAAATACTCAAAAATACACGATCATTGGCTTTATATGATCTATAGAAACAGACGAATGCTTTTATAACCTAAAATTATGTTGTTTTTAGACAGTCTTTTGCTAATAAAACAATTTCTACAACATTTACACAATATATCGAAGCTTTAGAAGCACAAAAAGTTAAAAAAAGTAAATTAATGTGTTTATTAGACACCAAGTCACATAAAATATGACATAACCACAAAATGAAGCTGTCATTCGAGTTATGTAAAGACATCAAATATTTATTGACACGTATGCTCTATAATTTGCAGTCTTTTCATTAAAGTATAGAAATATTCTTCGATATTCTTTTAACAACTTGTTTTTATACATCAGACGCACGTTAACATGACTTTCCCATATAAATCCACCAGCGCGTTGGATGAAAAAAGGAGTAAATATAAAAACCGATAATGGCTGATAAATTGCCCAGTTTAGTATGTGTATTAAGCGCCTCCGCTTCCACCGTTTACTCACACCCTTCCACAACGTGTAACACGCAACAAATTTCCTCTATATTTAATGCGTGTCGTTTTAATCTTCAATAAAAAATGTGATTTTCATCATGTTGCAGGAATGTTCAGTGTTTCTCTTCGAAAAGCGCTGCGCAGAGAAACTGCATAAACCAAAACGCAAGGAAACAGTCACGGAAATCCTCCGCTCGTCCGTGCGACAATTGGAGCGCTTTCGCCACCCGAAAATCCTGCACGTCCTGCATCCGATCGAGGAATGCCCGGAGACGTTAGCGTTTGCGACGGAGCCCGTGTATGCCAGTTTGGCAAATGTGCTGGCGCATCATCAAGAAATGAGCTCAAATCATGGGGTAGTTTGCCTCCGGGGCGTCGCAGGCGCCGCCTCCGTCACCGCGACCTACCCACGCGAGGGAGTACAACTTTTTGGACATTGAGTACAAATACGGGATTTTACAGGTGAGCATATGGACATACTGTATGCATTTGATTGTTTTATGTACTTCTGCAGCGTTAATAGATTGAGATGGGACGCGGAGATAAAACTTAAGCACTTGTTGCACGGTTATTACGTAATTACAGGGTTTTACTCAAGTTTATTAGGTTATCCTTACTGGTATAATACAAATTTATTAGGTTTTGGTAATATTTTATCGATAAAATCATTATTAAAGTAAAATATGAGCATTTTAATGTCTAGGCCATAAATTTAAAGCTAAACTTGAGATCAAAAAATAAAAATTTTCAAAATAAATCAATATATTACTAAATTGTTCACTAAGTGCGTAAAATGATACTTTTAAACACTTTTTACAAAATTTTCCGTGAAGAATTCATCATTAATGACACTTTTTATGCTTAAAAGTTATTTTTTCTTTAAATTTTCTCCTGTTGTTGACAGAACTGTCAAAAGTAAAGTTTAAGGTTATGTATATGTCAAAAGTGAATGATAGATAATATATTTGCCCTGTTTTTGTTGATATTTTAGCGATAAAATCATTTTTATAGTAAAATATGAGTAATTTTATATCTAAGCAGTTAGTTTAAAGCAAATCAAGCAATCAAAAAATGAAAATTTACAAAAAAACTCAATACGAGTATATTACTAAATTGTTCATTAAGTGTTCAAAAATATACTTTTAAATACTTTTAAAACATTTTCCGGATAGTCTACATCAATAATAACATTTTTCATGATTAAAAGTTATTTTTTCTTTGAATTTTCTCCTGTTGTTGACAGAACTGTCAAAATTAAAGTTTAAGGTTATGTAAATGTCAAAAATGAATGACAGATCATATATATGATCTATTTTTGGTGATATTCAAGCGATAAAATCATTATTAAAGTAAAATATTTATAATTTAATGTCTTGGTAATGAATTTAAAGAAAAACTTATTTTCATTATTAAAATTGAAATGATTTGATTTGATGATGATATAGTTTATTAAATAATTAAAATTTAATAGAGTTGCAGTAATGATTTCTGAATAATTCAAGAGCAACAATCCCAACAGGATTATCGAGCTTAGCGCTGACAATCCTTCTGTCTGGGCGAGCGCCCGACGCCGTCGACAGCCGCCTCCCATCGGGACGTCACCGGGGGCGGCTTCGCATTTAACGCGACCTGCCCTAATCCACCGCTGCTTCGAGCTGGGCTTTTTAGTCAACACGTGTCTCGAAGGATTTACACGAATAGTTGCAGCCTCTCAGCCTCTCTCGGCGAATTAATATATTCGCTATATTCGCTAATAAACAACAACCCTTTGCAATTTATGCAATTTACAATGAATAATTTAACATTTATGAATGATTTTTTCTTCGTTTTTATTTTATTTTATTTTATTTGATTTTTACACTGTGTGTGTGTGTTTGGTTGTGTGTATTGTAGCTAGTTTGGTTAATTTTAGTGTGGCGTTTGCTTATCGATTCCAGATAACGGAAGCGCTCTCCTTTCTGCATTATTCGGGTCATGTGCTGCACAGGAACGTGTGTCCGGCGAGCATCCTCGTCACCAAGAAGGGCACGTGGAAATTGGCTGGACTCGAATTCACAGGTATGATGCGAAAGTGTTACAACCGCCATTTCTACCAACACCAGCGCGAATCTATTATGTACGAGTGTAAATTATTGAAATCCAACACTCGTATACGTTTGTTTAATCACACTTTAATATTTAACGTATCGCACACGCACAGCTGGTGGGTATTTAGGCCTTTTTTTCGAAGTACATTAAATAGCAACTGGGATGAGAGTTTTTATTATTGATACTAGGCATATACAAGGTGTTTTTAATCGGAAAATTGCAAAAATGTTGAAATTTTTGATAATTTGAGAGAGTTTTTGATGTTTTATAAGTTTTTGTTTGTAAAATTTAATTGCAAACTATACATAAGTTATAAAAGTATTAAAATATATATATTTTGTTATTAATTGATAATAGAATCATAAAATATAGGGTGTAATAAAAAAATTTGCAATTTGCAATATTATGCAACCCATTATACATGCTTTTAAAGCAATTTTAACCTAATTAAATGGCAAAGTTGAATTTTGTGTAAAATTCTGATGATTTGATTGAATTTCATACGCTTTATGATTTTTTGTTTCTAAAATTTGATTGCCAACTATACATTAAAAACATTAAAATATATACATTCTGTTATTAATATGCCAGAGAATCATAAAATACCGAGTGTAATATAAAATCAGCATTTTGAAATATTCTGCAATCCATTGCACGCGCTTTGAAAGCAATGTAAACTGCAAAAGTTAATAAATTAATATCTTTGGTAAAAAATATATGAAACTGCATTTAAATTAAAAAAGAAAAACGCTATATACTTATATTAAACATTTTTAATCGTACCATTAAATTATTTTAAATGCAAAACTTTAATTTTGCTTTAATATTTTGTACTTTAATTTCCTTTTAAATTTAAAATTAACTTTGAATTGAAAGCGTATCAAGCAATTTAATTGAATTGAATGGAATATTTTTGAAATATTCAAATGAATTTTTTATGCGCGTACTGAAAAATCAAGTTCTTCCTGTCAAAACAAATCCGATTTGCACTGCTCGAAAATGCGAGCAAAAAAATCAATAATCAAGTCAATTATTTTTTATGTAACCATATAGGTACATGAAATTGTTCATTAGTTCTATTTTACATTTAGGAACATTACTAATTATTGCTTGTTTATGAATACTATCGTAAAAGTTTTTTTCTTTAAATTAAAACTCAGATTTTTAATTATTTCATGAAAGTTCAGTAAAATGCACTATTATCTGGATTTTTTGTGAAAATTGTAGAATTTATAGTTTTGCTGCGTTGAAATTCTATTATTTTGCCAAATTTTTGCTTTATTTCATTGTAGTAAAAGAATAGTGCCATTGCAATGCCCATATCAATGACAATAGAACAAGTCATAAACGAGCTAGTAGTCCAACAGTCAAAATCTGGCATTGAGTATAAAAATGTGAAATTCATGCGCCTTTTATGACCGCAGCTCGACTCCCAATCGAAATTCTATTAGCGTGGCTCTTTTCCGTGCAAGCAGCCGGCAGAGGAACGCTTTAAATTCAGTGCAATAAAGCAATAAAAAAGCGTTTTACTGAAGCACTGCGCGAACTCTCGCGCGCGGCCCATAATGGACGAAATGGACGCGAGCGCTTTGTGCTTTTATGTATGAAACTTTAATCACTCCTGGATTCATTCGGCGTGCACAAGTGGATTTCCCTCTTTTTCTTCAAAAAGCAGCTGCACAAACACCACCACCATTTGTGCAGCCCGTAATCAGGTTACAAAGGCTCATTTTCCACGAGAATACATTTTCAATATATTAATTTCTCATTTCCGAAGAATTTTTGGAGAATTTTTCTCAACATTTTTACAAATAGCAATAAAATGCTTGAGGCAAATGAAAAATGGAAACATATCAACTGATGTTTGGATAAGCGTGCAGTTGCCTTGACTCTCCTCCCTGGAGAGACAGAAGCGGAAGAGATAAAAGGACGAAATTTGCAAATTCGCAGGGGCGCACTGCGCGTCAAACTGGAATGACTAATTAACTTGTTCGACAATAGCGCACAATCGCACTGCCCGCAGGCGCTACGACAGCCGGACTTTTCCACGTGCGGAAGTTGAGATACTCCTGCACTCTCCCAGTAGAGAGTTGAGTTCAGTTCACTGCTGATCAAATTGTCGATGGTTTTACTCCAAAGTGCAGTAAATAAACAATTGCGTGTTTGCTGCTCTAAGCTGTAAGCTATACTAAATCCCGGCCGAACTAGACAAAAGCTTCGTGGAAAGTTTATTCGGTGTTTTTAATTTTTGCGTCGAGTGTGTGCGCTTGTTTTGGTCGGCGACTGTAAAGTGACCTATATTTTGTATTGGATGAGAACAGAAGCCACGCCACGCCGCAAACGTACGTCGCACATCGCACATCCTGGGGGTGCGTTTCAATCGATATGCAGAAAGGCGGCGCAGCGCTCCCACCTGTCTGCTATCTGCGTGTTTGCCACGTGGATCTGCCAGCCAATATTACAATTTAGCCTAATTACATGTACACACACTTGAAAATTGGAAATTTTTATTTTATTTTTGTTTTTTTGGTATTTATGCGCATAATATCAAATTTTTAACAGTTTTGCAAAAGAAATATTATAATAAGTTTTATGATTTAACAAAAGAAAGAAAAATGGCTTCTTTATCTTTGTTAGATTCGGAATTATGACAATTTTTACTTCAATAGTCAATAGTTAAATGTTTGTGAAAATGCGTGAAAAACGTGAATTTCAATTTAATTTTACATTTTTTTTAATTTTTACGCATGTATTACAACAATTTTAACCGCTTTGCAAAACAAATATTGTAATAAATCATAAGATTTATCAAAGAAATGGCATCTAAATCTTTATTAGATTCGGAATTATAACGATTTTCACTTCAATTGTATAAAAATTTAAGCATTTACTTCAATTAACCTAACAGAATAATGACTAGAAATATAAAGTTGTTCTTATACACGTTAAATGTCCTATAAATTTTTATTTATTGAATTTTAATATGAATTATGCCTATAAAATCATTAAAATTATCGTAATTCAAAGTTGACCCAGTTTTTACGTTTAATTAGACGCTGCTTTCATAATTCTTTTTAATATGGCTTAAGTATTACTAAGAAAAAGGCAAAGTTTAAGTTTTCCTTTTAATAGTCTTTAATATTATCTTCCCAGAAAACGTTAAATCATTAATTTACCCTTTTTAGTTTTTAAGTTATGAGGCATCAAAGTAGAACATCGCAATTATGAGATTTAAAACGCAATTTTCTTAAATTTAAATTATTAATCAAATAATTTATATAATTTAAATAATTTCATACACCTTTCTACACTCTATTTTAAATTGTTTATAAAAAATAGTAAAAATTATCATTCTGCTCTTTTTACTCCCGGAATTAGATGAATTTAACCTCGTCACTAAGAATTTAAAATTCCATACCTTCCCGGTTATAAGTAATTCAATAAGAACTCTTCCGTATTAAAATGAACCTTGATTCAATTAGCTGTAAAACAACATCCGGTGAAGCGTGTCACACAATCGCCCAGCAAACAATCACACCGTAAATATGTAAATACAGCGAAGAGTATTAATCATCAAAACACACAAAGACTGAAATTTCAGTCTTGGCACAGGTCGCCAAGTTTCGCAATCAATTAAAAGTCTAATTAATATGTCACGGCCGCGCTGCTACTGCCTTCGGCGACCGGATGGCACGGTGTTATTTTTAGCCGGAGCTTACGCCCACCTGTTTTTGGCGATACGGAACCATCAAAGGGAAAATTTGTCTCGCCCAACATCACAACATCAACATTAACGTCATCAAACTGATTTAAAGTTTTTTTTCCTCTTTTCTACGAATCGAGGTTATGTTGTGATGATGAAAATTTATAAAAAATTATGACCACAAAGTTTTTTTGCTTTTAATATACATCTACTTCAATTAGCAGCGCATTCTTCGTTTTTTCCTCATCTTCTTCTTATCTTGGACTTACTTCTACTCGTTTGATCATGCTTGAAAAACTTCTCGGAAGGTAGAAAATGGAATAAATTTCCTGGACCGAGACGTTTATTGTGGTCGTTGGAAATTTTTCAATGGGAGCCTACGCGGGTTTTGTTCGCATAAAAAAGCATGAAAAAAAAAAAGAAATGACCCGGGCAACCAAGCAAGAAGAGAAGAGGCTATTAAAAACCCCAAGCAAAAAAAAAAACATCTCTGCAGTTTTCACAGAGTCTGTGTGCGGCCATCGATAAACCGCAATATTCTTTTTCTTTATCAAAATCGTTTAATAACTCAAGTCACAAGATTTTTCTTTTGATTATCTAGATTCGTACCCGGCGGCGCTATGAATTCATAAAATAAAATTTATTCCGAAAATATATTTTAATTTTAACAAACATTTTTACATAAACCTCAAATAACTCAACGAAAAAAGCACCGGCGATAAAATGAATGAAAGCACGAAAAATAAATATTCATGTATACCTGAAATGAAATGCAAGCACAAATGTGTGTATTTAGTCTGCAAATAAATTAAAAACACCCAAGCACAATAACGAATTGCCGCGATGCAAACAGCACCAGCCGGGGTAAAAAAAAACAACAAAATTTCAATTAAAAATATTAACTCAAGCAAGTTATGTTGACATTTTTACGTATTCATACTCAACAAATCCGCAATTTACTTTTTTGATTTTATTTTGATTGAATCTAGGAAAGGACGATTTTGATTTATGCCTCCTGTGGACTTTAAATAGAACAAAATTGCACACAGCGCTCTTTTGGTTGTAATTTGTTTCGGATCGCACGAGCATGTTCCGCACCACATGACGCAATCTAACAGAATCCTTTCGACGATGTGTTGCAGAGAGGGTGAACGATGTGGATGGCGTTGAACCCGTGCCCTGTCAACCGTGGACGTCCAGATTATCGAAAATGGCTCAACCCAATCTCGACTATACAGGTAAACAACTAATATATATTGTTTAGTAATTTTAGTAACAATAGAATCACAAAAATCAGAAAATTTTATTATTTTTTTAATAAATTAAAGAATACATGAAGAATTAATGGAATTTTTTTGTTTAAAAAAAAACGCGAAATTTGGAAAACCGCAAAAATATGTAGGATACCATTGAAAGGAAATAACTCAACAATGACGTCACATCCGCAGTCAAACTCAATTGGATTTTTTACATTTTCTTTTGTTTTCATTGAATAACCGTCAATTTTTCATTTTTTAACTCAATATTGACGTCATAAATCAAGCCTTCATTGTGATTTTCCGTAAATTTTAAATTTTGAACTCAAAACTCAATTTTTTTACCATCAAAACCAACGATTTCTGAGAAATGTAATTCATTTTAATACTTGTGTATTAACATGCATTTTATGACAGTTTTTCATACCCATCCATTATTCCCACTGACCCACTGTGTGTGCAACAAGTGACATTCGATGTTGTGTTTTGGCCTTGTTTCATGCGGTGTGCGTGATTTGTCGCCTGTTGCGTGCTGCGGTGCGACACAGCCCCCGAAACGCAAACGCAATCGATATGCAGCATACTCAGCGACATGTTCTCGCTGGGGATGGTCATCTGCGCGATCTTCAATCAGGGCCGGCCGCTCATCCAGGCCCAGCACTCTAGCTCCAGCTATTTGAAACAACTCGAATTGGTAATCTAATGTATTTATAATCTCGAAAACCTAGTAAAATATGCGAGTTTTTAACTTTTCACGCGTCTTAAAAGTTATGGCATTCAAAAATGTTCACACGCGAAAGTGCACGGCGAATCCGATTATGAAACTCGCTCTGCTGCATTTGATGTCTTATTCAGAAGTGTTAGCGCTGACGTTGCACGATGAAGACGGGTGAAAAAGTTTTCGGTTCGTGTTATGCGCCATTTGCGCCTTGTGCAAATTACTTGAAAATCAATTTTATTATTCAACTTCATAAAATGAAAAATTCTTTTTTTCCTTCAGTAAACGTATCTAGGCAACCCAATGAACACACAAACATTTCACTTGCATTTCTTGCATCTCTCTTCATTAATATCGTAATTAATTGTTTATTTTGCATATTCATAATATACACTTATTGTGTTCTCTTATCGATTTAATTAACTTATACGCGAAAATTTCCAAGTGCGTTTTGTTCATACTCATAAAACTAAATCAAAGTCGCTATTAAACTTGAACGGAAGAAAATAGAGGCGAACGTACACCAACGCAAATTTAATTAACTTAATTAAGCGCGCATTAATTAGTCCACTTTTGTGTTTTGCGTCTTGTAACGATCGCGCTCGAGGAAGTAGTGCAGCGCGGCGGAATTTTTCCGAGAAATATTTTAAATGGTTGAGCGAATACTCTTCAAAGAGGAAATGAAAACAATATAATAGTATTAAAATATTCCTCTCAACCTGATTATATAACAAGGTCAAGTTCAATAACAAAGATTTTTAATTGGGTGCTTTTTAGTTAGAGGATCAAGTTCACAATATACTGCCACGAGTGCCGATACCGCTGCAGGAAGCGACGGTGCGCCTGCTCAGCAAGGACACCGACAACGACCCACGGCGCAGTTGCTATCGCTAATCAAATATTTCAGGTACCTAAGTAAATAATATTTTGTGTATTGTGTACCAAAGGCCGAGAAATGGTTCCTAAATCAACAAACATTCTTTACACAAAAGAATTTTGTAAAAAACTTCATTATAGGTTAGGATTGACGTCTTTATAACCTAGAATGTCAGCTGTCACATTTTTGACAGGTTGTTTTATTCATAATTCATCTTTGAATAAAATTTGCTTTACTTAGACTGGCTAGACATGCAAAACAAATAAAAAAATGAAACATGAAAACCACAAATCGAAAACTAAAAGTTACAGTTGCAAAGTTGCATGCGCTCCCCCAAGCGTAAATCGCGCATTTTGCATTTCGTGTACATTGTACAGTGCAGAAGTTTTGATAAGGTTATGTAGATTTATCCAGAGTTTTACTCTGCAATTTATTTAGCATCAAATGGGATTTTCCACAACAAAAACTTTCTAAACGAAAACTAATATTTACCAACGTCAAAAACAGTTTGTGTAGTTTTATTTATTTTTTTATCTCTGTGCGTTGATGATTTACGCCCTGTTCGTTATTTATACTTGTATTGAATTCGAGGATTGCGGATGATTGGAATTGTTTGTATGATGGTTGTAGGAAGGCTTGAAATATCCGTTTGCTGCTTACTTATTTATGCCCTATTTTCGTCCTCATTTCCAGCGATCCGGCCGTGCACGCGTTGCAATTTCTCGACGTCATCAACATGAAGGATCCCACGCAGAAGGCACACTTTTATCGCAGTACTCTCAAAGAAGCGCTACCCTACGTCCCAAAGGTAACACATATTATAAAAAAAGCACATATTATAATAATTAATGTTAAAATCGCACCCCGAAAATATTTTACTTCCTAAATTTCAATCGTGTGAAAATATTATCCTTAGATCGCTTGCTTAAACACTCCCCAAGATGGCAATTCATATAACTTGACATAAATATTTTTCTTTAATGCGAAACGTGCGCAGAAAACAAATTCCGTCGATAAAACTTCCACGCGCTTGCTTCCCAACTCCTCCAATTCACATCAAGGTACTCAAAAATAAAAACACACACAATACAAACACGAAAAATAATGAAAACGGATCGAAAGAAGCATCCTCTTTATGTCATGCGGACTTAAAACCAGCGTTAACTTTCCATCTCGACGAGCACTGAGCAAACATGCGGTAGGACAAAACTCAAGCAACGCTCGAAACTTTTGAACAAGAAGATTGAAGTACACCGAAAGTAAAACGGGCGTGAAAGGACCCAAACTGACTGAAAAGCAAAAAGCAGCTGGAGAGTGTACTCCAGACATAATCAATTGTTGCCTTTCTTATCGTTGCTTTTAGTGAAATAAAAATTTACGACATCTAAACAGTTAATTGTTAGAAACCAGAACAAACACTAATTAGTTAAGTAATTTTCTAAAAAAAAGAGAATTTTTTTAAAAATAAACTTGATAGTTTTATTCTATTTTACTTCACTAAAGCTTTCCTGCATGAAACTTGCAGCGTCTAGCTGGAATAGAAGCTTAAGAGTAAAACCCTTAGATATTGCATAACCAGGTCCCAAACGTGCCCATCTTCTCTGCGTCCAAAGCCGTAAAACTCGAATCGTTTTATCCACATCTATATATATATCGTGGACGGCTTGTTATTATAATTCTATTTTGTAGAAATTGTGGTATCAGCACGTCTGGCCTTCGCTGCAGCAAGAGATGAAGACGCAGGAGGTGCTCGCGGCAGTCCTGCAGCCAGTCCTCTACTTAATTAACGAATCCACAATTGAAGAATACGAACACATCATTCTTCCGTCCTTTAGGTAAGAAAAATTTAATTTTTTTCTCTCTCAAAAGTTTTTTTCGATTTAATTTCATCTGATTTAGTAGTTAAGATGATTCTTATCGTGTCTATTACGAAATGTGCTGATGCCGCCATCGTTGTATGCAAATACACTCCAGTGGCGGAGAAAATTGCGGGCGCAAACAATTTAAATCGTCCTCCAGCATCCACTCGCTGTTTACGCGACGTCGTCGGCAATACCGCAACAAGCGCGATCTTACATTAATTATAATCCAGCCACCAACGCAGCAATCGTTAGTTGAGCTTACGCGGCGTAATTTTGAATCGGCAGCCTCGGATCGGATCCAGAAACGGAGTCAACTCTCCACGCACAACTCGGACGCGGGGATGAGGACGCGTGTAATCCCCAGCACGACTAATCCCTTAACAAATTCGATACACATCCGAGCACACAGATTTGCTCTGTGTAAATATTGACGATATCAACAGCAACAGGACGATGAGCGATGAACGTCTAGGAAATTAAAATGCGCTTGCGCATGCTTTAAATATTCTAAAAAGTGTTTTTTTTTATAGAAAAAAAAATGAAAAAATTGTTTTTTACCTTGCAGGAGTGTATTTTCAACACCAAAGTCTGTCCAAGCGACCGTAACGCTTTTAGAAAATTTACACATCATCTTAGAGAAAACACCGCGTGATGACATCCGCACAGAAGTTCTGCCGATGTTATACAGTGCTTTCGAAAGTACCACGATACAAGTACAAGTAAGTATTCAGTTTTAAAATAAAAAAGTGTATTGTGTGTTGCCTATATGTATGCGCACAAAGGTTACGTTGTTCTTAATATTGTAGAGTGCAGCACTAGTCGCAGTGACGAACGTCTCTGAATACCTGGATGAAATGGCGATCCGACGGATGATTCTACCAAAAACAAAGATGATCTACGAGAAGAACCAGAACGACTTGAAGATCGTCTCCAACGTATTGTCGTGCGTTGAGCGCACGCTAGATAGATTAGATAAGAGTCAAATTATCGACGAAGTATTGCCTTTACTCTATGACATCCGACTGTCTGATCCGATAATCACACTACGAGTAGTCAGTAAGTTAAAAACTAAAACATTTTAAAAATTTTAAAATTAAAAAAAAATGTTTTGTAGATATTTATCGACTAATGCTTAGTGATAAGAAATACGGACTCTCTGTAAATCTGATGGCAACAAAGGTGATGCCCAGCTTGCTCCCACAAACAGTCAACCCCTCGTTGAACCTCGAGCAGTTCACGATGCTATTGGAAGTTCTCCAAGAGATGCTCGACCAGATCGACCGCAATCAACGCAACAAACTCAAACTCGACAACCTGTCTCTGCCAAGTCCAGAGCGGCACCGCCCGCTGCGTCACCAATACAGTTCGGATAACATGCACGTACCACCCTTCAACATCCCCAATTTACGTGTGGAACAGCGTAAGACTTCCAGTGCCGAAGACATGGCCCGCAAGAACTCGGCAGGTGGATGTTCGCTTAGCCACTTACGATAACATAACCTTCCATCTCACGTTTTCTACTTTTATATTGCAGGGGGTATGTTGGGTGGTTGGTGGTTTGGTGGATCACCTTCATCGCCCGATAGTAACTATCTGAAGGTGAGCAACGCGTTCCCCAACCGTCGACTTTCGGACAACACGTTGATGACACCCAAGATACGCATCGCACCTTCATGCGCCAGCTCCCCGGGTGGTACCCCTGGTGGCGGGTTGCCTATCCGACGACATTCCAGTATTGGTCCGCAGGAACGACGCGGATCCACCGTGAACCTCTCACCACCAACGGTAACTAATCTCTGTGTGTTTGTGTGTTGGTTGTTTATGTCATTCGTCACACGTATACCGTCAGCATTTGTCAGCAGACGTTTTTCTAGGGTAGTGCGAGGTAGTTGGATGTCGAGTAGACTCACGTGTAGCGCTAGCGGCTGACTGAACGTGTGTAATTAGCGCTAAATATCGAAAACATCTTCAAACATCTCAGTATTTTGAATCAAGATCAAGAGTTAGGTTACGTTCATCGAAACCTAACCTAAGCTCTCACTGCGTTTCTCATACTGTGTGAATGTGTGGTCTCGATGTGGTGTGTGTGTGTGTAGTGTGTGTTACAATTTTGACATCTGTATAAATACGAATTGCTCGAACAGGGTGCCATAGGGTACAGCTCTGTGTCCCGCGAGGGCTCGAGCATATCGGTGCCGTCGTCGTATGTAAGTTTGCCAAACCACTAATTACTAATTACTTACCGTATCAACAAAATCAAAACCAAACCAAAAAAAAATGAAAAGAAAATCAAACGAATGCAGTGATAAAATCACACATTGCGTTATACATCGCCCTGTCTTGTTCGCATTCACACACCCTCACTCATCATTCAACCACCATAAACCCCCTCGGACTGCAGTTGTGTACGTTGACTTTCGTGTGTTTGCCACCTCCATCATGATCATCATCGAATTATGGATAATGTGCCACGCAAAACGGCAGCCATAATTCCACCACCAAATCGACAGGACAAACAAGGACTTACATTCTGCCCCCCAACTCGTCATCGTACTAATCGCAAGCCAAACATTCCCCTTGTTTTCGCTCAGAACAAAAAAGGGTTTAGTGGTGTTTTAAAACCGGTTTTATTGAAATTTAGTAAAAAAACATCGATAAAAGCGGTTTTTTAAGTACCTGCCATGTTGTTCTTGAAACCCTATCATGGTGTGTTTAATTATTTAATTGTTTGTATCTGATTTAAAAGTTTAAGCGAAATCTAATCACGAATTCGTATGTTCTCATTCTCATTTGTGCCGTCCGACCGTGCTTGGATCATGCAAACTTGTGTTTGATTGCCGCCTCTGTCTCTAATTCAGCTTGCACGGAGCATGATAGTGAGTATTTCTCGATGGAAAACAATCGTGTTCTTTCTATGTGTCTTTTTCAAAACTCAAACACATAAAATTTAAGATATTAACTTGCGAAAGAAAAAAATCAAAATGGCAGCGTAAATCTAACCTTAAACATCAACTATTTGATTTTTTTCTGTGTCACTACACAACTTACACTTAATAAATGTTGTTTTATCTGTGTAGAAATAGCTTAAATGTTTTTTTGAAGAATTTTCGGGTCCAAAATCAAGTTTTTCTTGTCTCTGTGGTTACATTGTAGAATGTGGTTACAATCATGAGCAAATCCCTAGCGGGCTGTGAGTTTAAGCTTTGGAGTTGCGAGCGAGCAAGCTGATGAAGCGCGCCGATACGTAATTCTGTCGTTAAGCCCTTCGCAGCGCGACGGCGAAAAGTTTCCGCACGCTCGGATTATGCTCGGCTTAGCGCTTCGCCGCCGTCCGACAATCGCGTATTTTGTTATCGCCCGCCACCATTCTACTTGATCTTGGGCCGTAACTAATAGTTAGCTTAACATTAAAAAATAACTACTTATCACAAACTCTCACTAACAATACCATGTGATTTGTTGTTTTGCGCGTGTGTTTTTTGAAAAAATATCTTATTGTATTTTTATGTTGTTTTCGGATGTGATATACGTGTGTGTGCGTTTTTATAGGGCGGTTCGATGCCCAACACGAGCAGCAGCGTACCCTACCTGCTAACGAGCAGCATGCAGAACATCCGGTCGCGGCGGCCCTCGGCGATGTCCGCGCTGGGCGGGTCGCAGGGCTCGGGCCTGCTGCAGCAGCTTGGCTCCGGCATGGTAAGATTCACCTCTTCACACCAACCGAGCAACGGCCGAGTGTTCTCTAGTAGCACGGTTAGGAAATGTCCCTCCTGAACATTACATTTAGCTGAATGTACGTACGTATGACCATCGTGTGGTATAGAAAATACCAGCACACCCACACTCACACTATAGACAACCAAACAAACAAACGCAAACAAAATCATTCATTGCCGTATCGCAGATATATCATTACGTGTGATTGTATATCATTGTGGATTGTGCTAATATTGACGCACTCTCATTTTAGTCGCATACACGTTTGGACACTATCGCTACCACGCCACACAATCATTATCAAATGTCATCATGTCGTGCATTCGCTATCTCATCCGTCTCTTCTCTTCTTTTCCCTTAAATCTTTCCTTGTCGGGACTTGTTGCTTACTGAATTCTTCATGCTTTCAAAATCGTACAAAGCCGCCATCTTTCCTCATCAGTATAGACTTTATAGACTTTAGAGACTGTTGTACTGTCTGTCCGCCATCTTGCTTCACGGCTTTGTGCGTTTTGCGCAGTGAAAATTGAAGGGTATTAATGTTTTCTCGTGTTGTAGGACTCGAATTTCGATTCGAACTACTTCCAACGCATTCTGCGCGAACGCAAATTTTACAGAGGCACCTACACGCGCCCGATTGCGTCGAACGATCTGGCTTACATGAACTAATCTGGGCGCCACCATCGCTTTTTTTTGTACAAACTTTATTATAAAGGCATGTGATTCCCCCTTTGTACAGGTCCGGTCATTCGACTTGCATGCGAGCCGATCAATTTTCACTGCACACCATTTAAAATCAACTTAAATATTTTAAGCGTTTAAAGGTTCAAGCATCACATAATTTAAACGACTTTTAAACAAATTCTAAACTAAAAATAATTTGAATGTTGCCACCATCATATCATCAGAAACATCCGAAATACACGAAATTTGTTGACATTATGTGCTGCTTTCGAAATGATTGCTGTAGAATCCATCTATAAATATTGCTGCATTGAAAAATCGGTTGAGAGTAGTGTTGATTGTGCATCAATCATTTTGATATGTGCCAAAAACATGAAACCAAAATAAATCTATGTAAATGTATGGGCTGGAAGACTGTATAAACGTCGACCAGCCGCCATCGCTGAATAGCGAGCGCGCCAGCCGGCCTCAAAAACCCGCGGAGCACGCTCGTTCTAATCGGATGGTTTTGTTTTCTCTGTGTGATGTTCCAGTACCAGCTATTTGCCGGCCGGCAGTAAACGCGCGCCCGCCGACCGCCCTCCGCCCGAAACCATCACCACCACAACCAACTCACCAACTCTTAATAACAATAATAACAAACAATTACGTCTCTCTATCCGAGCACCATCCACCAATCAGATCTCATGTTGCACCATTGTGTTTCGCATCCGTTTGTTTGTGCCGTCAGTTTTCAGCCGCCATCATTGTTCGCACCTCTGGCAGCAAAAGGAGGAGAAGACGAGCTGTCGCTGCTTCTTCACGGTGGATTAATGGCAATCCCTCAACGACAATCATGCTACTGCACAGAATCACGGATACAGCTTGTAAATATTATTCAAAACTATACATCATGGTAGACAACCATGTATACATGCATACACCTAACCTTACATTAGTGCTATTGGAATGCAATCCTTGATTGAGAATGAAACATTTGCGAGCTTAACATGACTTTTAAAAAATGAAACGACAATCACCCGAAAATTATTGCAAATAGTCAATTCAATAATTCCAACCAGACAGCAATCAAAAATTGTTCATAACTAAACTAAATAGTTTCTAACCTTAAAAAAAAAACACTAAAAATTGTAAATTGTAAAGTGTTCCTTTCGTCCAGCGCACTGCTGATGGCACACAGTATAAAATGTAAAATGTACTCCAGTCCTCAATTCAAATTGAACGTGTTTTTATCAAATGTGCCCTCAATAACTATTAATTAATTACGAGAATAAGCAACAACATATTAACATACAAACAATTTCACATCAATATCTCTTCTTTCAAAGTACATTCCTAGACAATCTCTTACAAATCACGTTTCAATAATGATAATTAATGATATTCTAATCGTGCATTTAACTAAATCAGAAGTACTCACACACAGAAAGCATATATATATGACCTAGTCAAGGAGGAAGATTGAAGAGAAGATATATTTAACGAAAACAAATGAATATTTTTTCATATCCCCGTTGTAATGTGTAATGTGTGGGGTGTTAATAACTAATATCGATGTTTGTAAGCGTTCCAAAATGTTCGACAAACCGAATTTGTATATGTCTTACCATCATATCTTAGCGTACGTCTTAAAGAGGAACAACTCCAAAGCTTTAACACTTTGACATTCGCAATCTATCGTCTTTGATTCAAAACAATTTCAATGTTATACAAAACTCTAAATATTGACAATTGACAACTAACGTATGTACTTTCGAGTAAATTCACACATTCCAAGACTTTTGTAAGCTTTTCACAATGATTAAGCGGCCATTTTGAAAATCGAGAGCACACAAATATTTGCTCAATGTGTCATCATTCTCTCTTTCAATATCTTGCAATCACTTTCAATCTTTGAATATCAATGTCAATAAACATACATTTCCAATCTTCGATGTAAATAGCATAATTTTACGATATAAGAATGTAAGAGATGTATAATCAAATCTTCATCAGTTTCTACTCAGTTATCACACAAGTTATGTTCACGTATTAAACTATAATATTGCGTTGCTTCGGTTACAAAATGGCGTCTTTCTCCTAACCAATAAATTAAAACTTAAGTGAATCATATCATTTACAACTATAAATATATATAAAATAAGTAAATACAATTGGAACATAAGTCAAATATGTGATATGTTACTGTTTAGTCTCATCTTCATTGTTCATTTGTCATTGGTGCATCTTACATGAAATTGTAAACAGGCATATCATTTTTGACATCATCATCACAAGTACTTGTATAACTCTAAATAATAATTTGCTTCTTGCGCTGAAAGCCGGATGTAAAACTCATGCTGGCGGCTTTCAGTCAAATCTTTTACCATGAGCAAGATGAGATGAAATATAAGAATTTTAATTGTCAAACAATTAACAGTATTCTTTTATTTTTCAACAATTTCATAGGAAATTTCAATGGATTTATAACTCTATCATCTAATTCTTCTGATTTTCTCTTACCATACGTTTTCTTATCATCTTTAAGTGAAGATAAGTTCAGATTCTGTAAAAAGGCAAGAATTTGTTCTTTGTTTTGGTCCTTTTTAACTTCTTTTGCTGTTTCTTTTAGAGTATCTATAAGAAATTTCTTTGTGGCTGGATTTAACTCCTTTGGTGGAACACCTGCCGATAAATTTTACTAACAATTCGTAATAATCTTTAATATTTACTTCATTATTATCAGCATCATTGCCATGGTGTTCAAATAGTTTGATATATTTGAATGCCCTGGCAATGGGACATAGGGTATTATATTCTGAGTTTAGTCGAATTAAATTTGTCCATTTCTCTATTGGTGCTTCCTCATTGAAAAAGATTTTGTCATTTGTGTGTGCAATTCTTTCATATCGCTTAATCATTACAGATATATCCTGATGAGTTTTAAATGGAAATTCTTTAGCTATTTCTGTAATATTGCCAGCTCCGTGAGTTTTCAACGCTTGGAGGAGAACCTCTTTATCTTCATTTGACCATTGCGAAGTCACTAGAAATTTTAATTTTAAATTAAATTTAATTTTAGGAGGAAAGAGGTTATAAATTTGTTTATTTTCTTACAAATTTGCATAGAATATTTACTTACTTATATAAGTGCACTTGTCGGCAGACTTGTTTTTAATTCGGGTGAACTTCGTCCGTTATCTTTAAATTGTTTTCGTGTGATAAGCAATTATTATCATTATTATGATTTTACACAAGTTTACACCAAATCAACACAAGCGGTACCACCTTGTGGGAAAATATTGCAACTGACAAAGCACATTTCTGTAGGCAGTGTTGCCACCACAGCAAATGTTTCAAAAATATTTACGCTTATTTTATTAGTTGAACATGGGAAATAGTTTAATATAGTCAAGTAGATCTTAAAACAAGTATAAAATATTACTTTATTGGTTTTTATCGTTTATAATATTGTAAAAACATTTTATTTTAAATATACGTGTTTGCAGCTGCCAACACTGCTACGTTTTCCGTTTAGGTTTTGTTTTTCTTGAGCATGTTGACATTCAACATGGCGGCATGTCGTCAGTGCTGTGCTGTGTCGTGGTGAGTTGATAATTTACCAAATTTTTATTAAACTTGCTTCATTTCATCACCAAAAAGCGCATGAGGATAGAGAAATTGAGTAGGCGCGTGTGGCGCATAAATAATTCGAGCGCGGAGGCGTAAATAACGCGCAAATTTCGGCGTTTCGGTGGTCGCCATCGGTGCGGCCCTACGAGGTCTGCTATCATTGTGCCATCTTTCTTACACGACGGAAATTCTTTGTTGATCGTTCAATGAAAAATTGCGCATCGCGAATTGAACGAAACGTGCGTTATTATACCGCACCCGGATCGTTTGATGCGTACTAGGCGGTCAACGAAGAGTTATCGTCGCGAGATGTTTATTAAAAGTGAATGTAAATCAATAATTCGGGCCTCGTTCCATTCGGCGGCTCGCGCTCGTCCAGTTAGCGCCGAGTGCACATGTTCCTCGCCCGATCGCGGCCCGATACGATACGCAATCGCCGAAACATTATTATTGTAGGGCATATTTTAAATTATTAATTGAAAGAAAATACGGCGCTTGTAAGGTTAAGACGTGTTGGAAAATGCAGCGGAAAATGGAAAATAGGTCATCATAACAATTTTTCGTGAACTAAAAACAGTTGAAAATCATAGCTCAATGAATGACACTTCCGAAATTCATTTGTTTCGACGTCGTTTTTGTTAAATTGTCATTTTGATTGCAGTCATGCTGCTTGTGTAAATCATAAATTATCGCATTTTTGGTACTGTGAATGTGCACATTAATCCAATAGCACAAACATATTGTACGCGAATTCTATATCGATCTTAATTAACGTAATATTAATTATGCTCTTCTTTTGCAGCTTGTGTAACTAAGAAACTCAAAATTTAGATTAGAAAATTGAACGTAACCCGAGTTGTAATTCAGCGCAAACCACTGGCCTTTGAAACAATTCCTTCAAATAATCAACTGCAAAACGATTCACCAATTTGTACTACGAAAGAGCAACGGAAGACACAAGGCAACCAAAAACACAAAGTTTAACCAGTTCGTCAACACATCGTTCGGGCGGCGAGAGATTTTAAAGAGGATTCAAGAGGAAATTGCGCGACATTGTGATGAGAGTATATGGCACAATCCAGACCCAGCACGCATTGAAGACATCTGATGATTTTTAGTTCAACCATTTCAGTTTCCATTTCTACGCAACTCGGTGTCGACTGTCGTAGCTGTTTTTACTTCATTCAAGTCACCACATCCCCCAACGTTGATTTCGATTCTTCGCTAAATGCAAACGTCACTGCGGAAATCATCCTAAATGCAAACAAACGAAAAAAGATTTAACCAGGCAAGCAAAGAAATTAACACATTTAACAAATCAACAAGTTGCAAACAAAACAACAACACACAAACGGCGTTTCCAGTAAGTTCGAAAAATTAACTATATTAATCAAGCAGAGTTAAACACGTTCGAAAAAGTTAAATAATTTAATTTGTTGCATAACATAAAAAACAAAGAAAAACAAAACGTAAACCAATTGTGAGGACGAGTTTGCGGCATTGCTCGCAGACGAATGTTTTCGACCGCGATTTGATGCATTCATTAACCAATTAACTAATTGCTGTTGCGGTGCACAGCTGCCATATTGACTATTATAAAAAAACAAAACTATTGTAACAAAGTTAAAAAGCAACATAATTTTGTGTGGTACGCTCTTTTGGCCGCCGCCGCAAACGAAGCGAAGCAGGAGGGGTTTGAGGAGGAGAGAAGGGAAAGGTACCATAACCATTCTGTGATATTCACTTAACTTAAGAAAAACAAAAAACGACGCAACCAATAATTCAACAAACAAACATACAAAACACACAACGTTCAGACTGAAGCAGCAGAACCATCGCCGGTGCGGGAATTTCTAGGACTATGTCCACGAATCCCCAGTGGAAGACCTTCCAGCCGCCGGACACCATGAATCAGGACTCTGCCATCATCGACTTTAAACCAATGACTGGTGAGTTGTTGTTGAAACATTTGAAATTGTTAGGTTAGATGTACAATATTGCAGGTAAAAATCAAGCATTCAAACACTCGATCACCTCGAACAACACGCGTTCGTGGTACGGACAGGAGTTCCCCGTGCTGGGGGATAGCAAGCCGGCGTCGACGTACAACGGCGGCAGCAACAATCTATTTGGTTCGGCGAGCGCCACTAGTACTAGTCGCTTCCCGACTATTGGCACTTTCTCGCTGGACAGCAACAACACGTATAACAGCGCCGGTGATTCACCGCCGATCTTTTCCAATGGCAACAGCAGCGCGTCCAGTTACAATGACTCCAACTCGGCGAATCAAGGCACGCGGGAGACGGGTATCATCGAAAAACTACTGGTAATTTCATTCACTATTTTGTTGTTGATAAGACTGACTCAACTTTGATTTATATTTAGCACTCGTACGGATTTATCCAGTGTTGTGAGCGGCAGGCGCGTCTATTCTTTCACTTCAGTCAGTTTACCGGCAACATAGAACATCTGAAGATTGGCGATCCTGTTGAGTTTGAAATGACTTACGACCGACGCACCGGGAAGCCAATTGCCAGCGCTGTGACGAAAATTGCACCCGAAGTCGTGAGTAATTGCTTGTTCTACGCTTATCACATTAGCTGATTGTGCATTTTCTACTGTGGTCTACATTCAGTTTACACATGATTGCACCATATGTTTTAACACATTTCTATGCTTAGGTGATGAGTGAGGAACGTGTTACTGGCACGGTGACCACCGAGATACGCGGTGAAGGCTCTAGTGGCGATAATCAGGGCCGGATTAGTTATGAGAACCGCGGCGAGTGCTTTTTTCTCCCCTACACCAAAGATGATGTTGAGGGCAACGTCACACTGCGTTCCGGTGATAAAGTCAGCTTTCAAATTGCCACCAATCATCGGTAAGTGGAATAACTGCCGTTTTTTGTTTGTTGGGTTTTAATTTAAAGTTATGTGTTTGTCTTTAGTGGAAATTTGGGCGCTTGCCATGTCCGCTTGGAGAATCCAGCGCATCCAGTCAAGTATCAGGGCGTCGTGTGCTCAATGAAGGAGAGTTTTGGTTTCATCGAACGCGCCGACGTTGTCAAGGAGATATTTTTCCACTTCTCAGAGGCCAAAATAAAAGAAGAACTCAGGTTGGGCGATGATGTCGAATTTATTATACAAACTAGAAACGTGAGTCACGTACGACTAATCACTAGTTAAAATTTTTGTTTTAAACGAATTTAATACGTGTTTAATATTGTTTCAATTCTGTTTTATTAGGGGAAAGAAGTAGCATGCAACATAACACGCTTACCAACCGGCACGGTGATTTTTGAAGACCTAAAACCCGAAATAATGCGTGGCCAGGTTCTGAAACCGCTCGACCGCGGCACGAATCTGCGCCATCAGACCGACGCACTGCCTGGACGCATTAGATACCGCGCTCCGGACCACTCAGAGGTAGAAATTTCATTCGGCGATAAAGACCAACGCGGTGATTTTACTCTGCGGCATGGTGATTGGGTTGAGTTTAAGATCGCCACTGATCGCCGTGATCAACTTAACAGAGCCACGAATATCTCGCTGCTGGATGAGAGTTTTGTGGTGTCAGGCGAGAAGCGTGAACAGGGTGTAATTGCCTCTGTCAAGGACGGTTTTGGTTTCCTCAAGTGTGCCGAACGCGACCCCAGACTCTTCTTCCACTTCAACGAGGTGCTCGACGTTGAACGTGAGATACGCGTCGGTGAAGAGTATGAGTTTACCGTCATTCAAGATCAGTCGAGCACATACTCCAACAATCGCCAGAGCGCCATCCGAATGAAACCGTTGCCGGCTGGCACCGTGCAGTTGAGACGCGCATTGAGAGTAATCTCACTGGCTCCGTAACGAAGGACATCCCGAGCAGCTGGGCGAGTCGCAGTCCCACCAAAACGAGCAACGGGGAGGCGCCGCATGCTGAGTCGGGAATCATTACCTATACATTCAACGGCGCCAAGAAAACCGTGGCATTTTATTCCAAAGACTGCGAGAAACAATTTCCGCGCCTTGGCGATAAAGTGCAGTTTAGTATCAATCTTGTAAAGCGCACCAAAGAGCTGATTGCTGTCGAGCTGCAGGTGGTGCAGCAGGCAATCGGCGCGCAAACGAACGGTATAACAAAGCATGCGACACCACGCGCGAACAACTCGCAATTGTATCAAGGATTTGTCGCTGCGCTCAAGGACGGTTTCGGTTTCATCGAGACTGTCGATCATGACCGCGAAGTGTTCTTCCACTTCTCCAACTTTGACGGCGACACGAACAACTTGGAGCTGGGGCAGGAAGTGGAGTACAACCTGGGCACACGTGGTAATTCCGGCACATGTTCATCTGCCGAAAATGTGAAAGTTATTGCGAAGGGTACAATTGTCTTACCAAAAGTCACCGATGAAGTATTGGAGGGTGTTGTGGTGCGTCCGCTGCGCTCGGTGAATCCTGATCAGAACGAGTACTCGGGCCTGATACGTATTAAACCGGACGACGAGGATAAGGATCAGGATAGCGAGGAGGAACCGATGGAGTTTGAATTTGGTATCATGGGCTTGCTGAATAAACGCGAGCTGTTGCAAGTTGGCGATGCTGTTCAACTGCAAGTAGATTCCACCGGTCGTGCCGCAAATATCATCGCAGTACGCAAGAAACTCCGCGCCACTGTCGATGCCATCAAGGGACAGTTCGGTTTCTTGGCGTACGAGGTCGAAGAGGGCAAGAAACTGTTCTTTCATATGTCTGAGGTCAAAGACAATGTCAATCTTCAAATCGGTGATCAGGTCGAATTTGTGTTAGTTACGAATCAACGGAGTGGAAAGTCTTCTGCGTGTAATGTTGTTAAAGTGAGGTAAGCCCGAGAGAAAAACAAAATTGATCGTAAATAAACAGTAACCATACTAATATTGACTAATTTCTAGGAGTCAAGAATAGTTGGTTACTGTTTATGTGACATATTGTCATATTTTTGTAAATTGTCAAGTGACGTAATGGTCCAAACGCGTACCTTACACAATTTTCCTTTTCCTCTTCATTGGTTCATCCTTTCGGCGGTGTTTCACACAAACATGTAAACACTTAAGTGTAGTTTATTTCAGTGTATTAATTATTGTATTTTTGTTGTGTTTTTAGTGATGTCCAAGCCCGCCCAGAGCGCCTGATTAGTCGTCTACGTACAATCTCGATGGAGGAGTCCGGCCCGAAACTACACGTCATGCGACAGCCGAAGGGGCCGGATGGATCGAAAGGGTTCGCACTCGACGCGCGTTCACTGCGACTGCCCGGCACGATAACCGAATAAAGGGGCAATGTAAACGTACAGGCAAAACAAACGTTTTAAATAAACGAAAACCAGTTTCAATACCAGTAAGTATCAATTCGCAGCAAACGAATAACAAAAGCGTCCTACGAAAAACAACAGCAATTTAACTTAAAACAAAAGATTTAACACACACATACACAAAACAACAAAAAAACTACAACGGTGTTTGAGTTCGTTCTGTTTCTGTTTACACAAATAGTCGTAGATAAGTGATGATGTTAAAGACAAACAAAAAAAAGTAACGCTTAAATAAAATTACTAAAACAACCACCAAGAAGAGCAAAACAAATACGAGAAACACTTGCTTTGTTGATTGATTGGAAACCAAAAATTCAGAGACAAAAATCATTGATTCAATGAACGCAAAAGAAACAACATTGACAAATATGCATACAATGAATTTAATTAAAATTAAATTAGGATTATACAAATTAAGGTATTAGCGATATATGAATTATAGAAGACTGCATCGATAAGTGAACTAAACATGTAAATGAAGAAGAAGAAGAAGCAAACGCTAAAAAAAGTACATGGGAAAGAAACCTAAACCAAAAAAAGAAATGAAAAAAAAAAATTAAATAAATAAAATGCGCCCCGTTGACAAGTTGTTTCATCGATTTGTCGATGAGTTAGAAACACGTTTTTGCTAACAGTCATTTTGATTTTGATACAAACTTGTGTTATGTGTGCAGTACCCGCAATTATCTCTATAATCGCTCGCAACTGATACGAATTCTCAAAAGTTTTTGGTCGAGTACGGAACGTGAACCTCAGAAAAAACGTTGAAATTCTTTCGTGGAAACAAATGTGTAGATAGACTTGTATGTAAAATGTTTGTAAATTGATTTGCAACTGTTCTGTGATAGCTATCCCCCAGTTTTTACGAAGCGAGAAATGAAT